GATGGTATCTACGGTAGATAGCGGACAGTGAATGAACTGTGATTTGGTGTGCATGTGTCTGAGTGTGTTTGTGGACTGTAGACTTTCATATCTGTTATCTGCACAGTTAGAAACCCCCTATAAGACACTTCTCACTATTTGACAGGACACAAACCAAAAGGCCAAATATTTTATGAAAACCAACAATCTAATCTTTTGTAATCGAGGAAATGCTTTGCTATCACTTTACCTGATTACATCAAATGAACAATACAGACTTTTTTCATCTCTTGATAGTGTGAAAAATGTTTCATAATTTAGTTTTATACAGTATCCATGAACTAATTCAAAAACAGATAAGCAAAATTGTGCAAAATGATTTGCACTAAAAAAAACAAACATAGTCGAATTACAAGCATATTATTGTAGCATTTTTAAAAATCAGGGTTTGTTAAACTTTCAGGAAATTAAAGTGGGCTTTATAGGGAAAGAAAGAAATGCTGCAACTGCGTTTTTACAGACAGTGCAATAAATCAATTCTTCTGGTTCTGTGCTCATATTATAGGGTTAAAGCATTTCGATTTGCTAACAGAATATCATATATGTTTCATTCACTATGTCATGACTTTTCAAACAATGTAGGATGTCAAAACAACAATAGGTGGTATTCAGCATATTCTAAAAACAGTTTTAACTTGTGTGGTTAACCAAGTATTGTTCAGAGACCTATCTCTTCCTAACTAAGTGCTGTATGGTCAAAGTTAACCATGTTCAAAAGATAACAAAGAGCAAAGGTGATTAGACCAAACTGCCTTCACCTACATTTCACAATACAGTACAGAGATCACTAGATCACACTCGTGTTGGGCTACACTCATGCACAACTACTTTATGAATGATATTTGCAAGCTTTTTTGCATTTTTGAAAACATTCATCAAAAAAGATAATTCTCTCATTTGACTGGATACAATTCTATTATCATATATTCTCTCGATCTTAAAGGAACACTCCACTATTTTTGAAAATAGGCTCATTTTCCAACTCCCCTAGAGTTAAACAGTTGAGTTTTACCGTTTTCGGCGGTAGCACTTTTAGCTGTAGCTTAGCATAGATCAACGATATTTAGTCATAATTTTCGTTGACGAAAGCAACACTATTTATAGGAAAGAACTGCATTTTTACAGAGAGTGCAAGTAATCAATGCAACTGGTTCTGTACTCCCATGACATTGTCAAAGCGTTTAGATTTGCTAACAGATTATCATATCAGTTTCATTCACTAAAGTCATGACTTTTAAAACAATGTAAGCTGTCAAAACAAGAACAGGCGGCAGTATTTAGCATCTTCTAAAAACAATTCAAGGTTAAAAACGTGTGTTTAACCTCGGACATTTTATATAACCATGTAAAGTAATGTACAGAGACCTATCTCTTCCTAACTAAGTGCTGTATGGTCAAAGTTAACCATGTTCAAAAGATAACAAAGAGCAAAGGTGATTACTATGGGTGCAGCAGGCACAATGATATTACGCAGCGCCTGAAAATAGTCCCAGCTAGGTAACTTCCAATAAGCCTATTTTCAGGCGCTGCGTAATATCATTGCGCCTGCTACACCCATAGTTCGGCAGCAAAGTTCCTTGATTATTTTGCCGGAATGAGAGTCATTTTTGAGCGAGATGCTAACGGTCTAATCAGATTCAATGAAGTCAAATGAGAGAATTATCTTTTTTGATTGTTTTCCATTGCAAATATAATTTTCTTCAAAAACCTTAGATCCTTAAGATTAGAACTGCATTTTCTAATAAGAATGTGAAATGTAAAACAAATGTTCTTAAATTTTTCTTAAAACTATTCTTAAGACAAAACGTAAAAATCATTGTAAATAATTTCTTAAAGTTAGGATAACCTGCAAAGTTGTCTAAAATCTCTTGAATCCAACTTGTCTTAAAGGAAAGATTGTCAATTAATTTATCAGGATGTTTCAAATTTTAAGCATTAGAATATTACTAGGGATGCACCGATACCGATACTGGTATCGGTATCGGGCCCGATACTGAGCTTCTGTACTCGTACTCGTACTCGTACTCGTTAAAATGCCCCGATACCAAATGCCGATACCACACAGCATGTGATAAGTGCCATATTCAGACAAAGAAATACCGACAACAGACAGCAGAATGGGGTTATTAGAGATTAAAGATGTCTACGAAGTATATGTATGCAATGAATATAATGTTAAACATTCAGTATTAACACCTGTATAGCTGATGTGCGC